GAAATTACAAGTGAAAGGATGAGAGGAAATGGTCTTAAATTGCACCAGGGGAGGTTCAGATTGGATGTTAGGAAGAATTTCTTCACTGAAAGGGTTATTCAGGTATTGAAACAGACAGAGCAGGACAGTGGTGGAGTCACCATCCCTGGAGGTTTTTAAGAGTCATATAGACGTAGCACTTGGAGATATGGTTTAGTTAAGGACTTGTCAGTATCAGGTTGATGGTTGAACTTGGGATCTTTAAGGTCTTTTCCAACCTAGGTGCTTTTGTGATTCTGTCATTCAAATTCTGTGATGGTGTCAAGTAAGGGTTGATTCCTGGTGTGTCAGCCTGCAATGCAACACTTTGGGGTGCAACACTGAGCCTGCACTGTGACTTCAGCAACAAGTGTCAAAAGCAGAGACAGAATAGCTAAGAAAAAACAAACAAACACCAAAACAGAAACTTGGCCTTCTCCCCTCTATCTTTGAGACTAATTTTTGCCACCAGCTCCCTTTGGGAAAAACAACAAAACCAATCTGCTTTGGGACTACAATGTACTTATTTATTTATTTGTTTGTTTGTTTTCTCATTCTTTTTCTTCCTGCCCTTAACAGCAGTAATATCATGTCCCCTTTATAAAGCAAGAAGTCACTCAGTGTATTTCAAGCTAGTGGTCTTGCCTTTTGAAAACCTGCTGCAAAAGGAAATTGTACTCCAAGGTGAAGTATTTCTGCTGCAAATCATCCAGAGACACCATCAACCCTGTGTGATTGAGTTCAGTGCCATAATCATAAATACTCTTGCTTTATGACCATGCTGGGGTTCTTCACCAGGAGCAAACTAGGGTTTTCCCAAGGCTCCCAAACTACTTAATTCAGGTCTATTACAAGTAGAGCTGATTCACTGAACACCTGATGAGTGACAAGTAAGGAAGTCATAGCACCTTGGTGCCTTTTCTGTCCTTTCTCCATCTGTGGCTGAGTTTTGCCAGGACAGCTGCCCTGTCCCAGCTTGAGGCTGGCTGATCACAGCTGCCCACTGTGAAATTCAAAGCCCCCCCAGATGGTAGATCACAGACTGGACAGATAGAAACAGCATTTAGTCTTCTGGACCAAGCAGATCATGACCAAAGCCTTTCTGCTGGCCCGCTGGATCTCAAGTTCATCAGACATTAATCAGCAACTCATACTACAAGAGAGTAAAAAAGGTAAAAAACACAGGATCCTCTCAGAGCACATGAAGAAGACCTGAAAGAAAGGCAGGTAAGTCCATGGGAATATAGAAACTTGTGAGAGGTACTAAGGAAATGATGGAGTCCGAGGTACACAAGAGCAGAGACTTCTCTTCAACGTACTCCAGGTTGGTCCAGGGGAGATGGTCCAGCCCAATCGATTCATTTACAACCCAGGCCATCTGGAGAGTGGGAAGCCTCTTCCCACATGATGGCAAGATGCTGTACAGGCAACGAGAGAAAAGAAAAATCACCTGGAGGTGGGTGTATCAGCAAGAGAAGGTGAAGGACATAGTGTGGGGGAGGGGAGAAGGGTTGGCAAGCCAGCAATGATGTTTACAGAAGGAGGGAATTTCTGGCTCTGGTCCATGTGACAGAGTAACACCAATATTTGTGTGCTTGGCAAGAAGTCTCTTGGTGCAATCAGACCATACAATCCTGGAAGCTGGCCATGTTAATCTGCTCAGCAGAGTCATTGAAGGACTGCAAATGGGATGGTCCAGGCATCCCACACTGATAATGCAATTTACCATCCCTACCTCGTTGAGACTTACTGATTTAGCAGGTACTGATGCCTGGGTGGTAGCAAACACCCCCCCTCCTCCTCATGTGGGGGTCCAAGTGCTTGTAGAAGAAAGGATCAACAGGAGCATTGCAGAAGGACACAAAAGACTGGTAAAAATAGGCCCACTCAAGGTAATGGTGTGTTTTGAGCACTGTTGAATATGACATTGGAAATGGCCCTCAGCCCTGTCAGCCTTCTGAGTCATATTATGTCACTGTAATGTAAGTCTTGGTGGGCAATGAAGAGCCAGGTTTGGCTTTAAGATGTCAAATGGATTCTATTTTTCAAAGAACCCACTCAATGAATAAGCAAGGGTACAGGACAGAGAAGGAAAGAATTAAGGGGAAGAGCAAAAAATAGACAGTGGACCTTTCAGTAGAGAGATGACTCAGTCAGAAGATGGCTTCTCAAGGGAAGCAGGGGAGATGCATCCTGTTTGTTCCAAGTGACATTCACAAAATCTTTATGGCCACACAGAGAATGTAAGCCTGTCTTTGTCAGAATGCTCTTGTGATGCCATCCTTCCTCAGCCCCCGTGTCCTTGAGGGCCACAAACACACAGGTGGCAATGAGATGGACCCTGAAACTACAGGGCATTTCTCACATTGTCAGGCAGAAAGTGCCTCTGAAAGTTTTGGGTGTTGCAAGACCATTATTCTTGCAGATATTGTCCAGTCATTCTAGTGCTGAGAAGTGTTTCTTCTGTGCAGCAGACAGCTGCACAGCTCCTGAGGTGAGCAGTTGACTGCCAGATGTTGTCTCCTGTGGGAAAGAGGTTTGTAGCCAGAGGTGTTTTTGCTTCAGAAGCCAAGAGGGCTGCAGCCATCACCAGCAATGACCAATGTAACATCCATGTGATGTTACCATTACCTTGCAGATCAATAATTATCTCTTAAGGTCAGGTTTGAGCCCTTTCCTTCTGCCACGCAAGTCACACAGAGCAGCTTTGGAAGATCTGAGGGGAAGTATCTGAAGCCCATCAGGAAATACCCTGTTAAAGGGGATGAAAGAAAGAGCAGTCTCTACTGACAGACTGGAGCTGTGTCCTAGTCTGAAGGTGACACCTTTCAGAAAGAAACCCAATCAGAGGTGATAAAGCAGTGACAGAAACTGTGTGCTAAAATGGGTAGATGTGAAGAGGACAATGAGTCCACTCCCAATTCTGCAGATCAAGATCTTGGCAAAGATTAGGTAAAGACCAGAGACTGTGCAATCCCCAGCCCATTCCCTAAGGAACTGGGATGACACAGAGCTTCTCAGAATCTCCTTTCTGATGGGAACACTTGTCATAAATACCAGGGGTGTGATAGGAGTTGAAGGAGGAGAAGATACATTGTGATTTGTAGACCCTTCACTTTGGGCAGGAGGCTGGTGGAGGCAAGAGGTGGGAACTTGGAAGGTGATTTGTGTGGTTGGCATATGAGACACACAAGAGGAGTCCACCAAAGGAGGAAAATGGTGGTGGCATTGCACAGCAGGAAGCTGAGGCATCCCAGGGAATTCCACCTGAGCAAGAGGTTGAGGTCTCTCCAGTTTCTGAAGTAGAAGGCACAGAGACCTGTCTCCAGACCAAGTTCTCCCAAGGCTTCATGCAAGGGAATAGGGCCTGTGTGGTTGGCCAGATCTGAACCTTGGGCTGTCTTCCTGCACCACCCCACCACCAAGAAGGTGTCAAGCCTTGTGCCAGGTGAGGTTTAGATTGGATATTTGGAAAAGTTTCTTCACCCAAAAGGGTTGTCAGGCCCTGGCACAGGCTGCCCAGGGAAGTGGTAGAGTCACCATCCCTTGAGTGATTTAAAAGACATGTAGATGTGATACTTAGGGACACAGTTCAGTGGTGGCCTTGGCAGCACACTAGTCTAATGGTTGAACTCGATGATCTTAAAGGTCTTTTCCAACCAAAAGGATTCTGTGTTTCTATGATTCTAAGCCCTACAGCTCCTCAGCAAGTTTTGCAGCAGGTCTATAGCAAATGCTGAATTCTAGAAGATGAAGAACCTCCCTGCTCATGAATATTTATGACCTGTACCATTGACACACCAGTTCAGAATATCTGCTCCAAGAAACCTCAACCAGCACAGCTGTGACATCTCAACCAGCACCTAAGGAAGGGTGGGAGGGAATGGGGAATGCCACAGGAGTGTGAAGATACTACATGTGTCAAACTGACTTGCCTGGGGTAGGTGGGGACCACGTTAGGGGCAGCAGCCCCAGCAGGCTGTGCAGGGAGCAGTGGGGATTTCATCCTCCAAATGCAAAGTGTGTTGCAGGAGATTCCAGCAGCCTCCTCTGTGCTGGCTGGGGAAAAGATCTCTTAATGGGTACTGGTCCCTTGGGCCAGGCAAACGAGCTGTCTCAGGTCATTTATGAGACAGGCCAGGATGTTTTCAGACTGTTCCTGACCAGGAAGTGATTAATTGGCCTTCTATTTGTATTTTCCCAAGCTCCACTCGGCTGCAAGTGCTCATTAGTTACAATAGGAGCCAGGCAGTGTTTGCAGGGCAGCTTTGTATTAAGCCCCAAGGTCCAGTCCAGCTCAGTGACTGACAAAGAGACTTTCTCCAGCCTTGTCTGAAGGCAGTTTTCTGCACCAGCCATCAGGCACCAAACCCATGAAGCCACAGGGCTGCTTGAAGCATGGCTGAAATCCCCTGACACTGTAGACACAGCCTTAAATCCTCCTTGGATCTCAACAGCCTGAGGTATCTACTTAGAGGCAGTATTTGCTGAAGATCTATCCCCAGTGTTTCCCAATCCTTCCAGTCTCTTGGTACTGGGAGGTTGCAGTGGCTTTCCAAGGTAATGTGCTCCTTGTAGTATATGGGAGGGAAAGGGGAGGTCCCTGGTTTGGCAGAGAAGAGGTGAGAGGACCTGTCTGCAGAGGGAAAGGTGAGGGTTTCCTGGAGGGTGAGCAGAAGAAGGAGAGGTTGGGACTGGAGGTAGACTGCTGGTCTGATCCAGGCCAAAAAGCAACACAACTGGGTATTAGGAAAAACTTATTACATGAATGAGGGGTCAGGCACTGGCCCAGGCTGCCCAGGACAGTGGTGGAGTCACCATCCCTGGAGATGTTAAACAAACATGTGGACGTAGCACTTCAAGACATGGTTTAGTGGTGTTGGGTCGACGGTTGGACTTTGATGATCTTAAAGGTCTTTTCCAACCTGAATTATTCTATGATTCTGTGATCATCCCTGAGCATGGCCCATGTCCCTGCCTACCTCGGGCAGCTTGACTCGTCCCTCCTGGAAGGAGCAGGAGCTGGGGTCATGAGTGCAGACGTGGCGGTACTTGCACCAGTGACACCGGTAAGGGCTCTCCACGCATGACAGACACCTGGAGAAGGAGAGAAAAAGTAGTCACTTGGCCAGCCAGGTCCTGTCAGCCAACAGGATGGACCTTGAGGCCTACAGTGTTTCTCAGAGGGAAATAGAGCCCAGCAAATATCACTAGCAGAAGGCCATGGGCTTTGCACTGACCCAACGCTGTCAGGTCTCAGGATGATGCTGAACTCGCCACGGCCTGAGGTGGTTGTCACTGTGATCAGGAGTGTCTTGAATTACTTAGATGATTCAGATTGCATTAATATAATTGTAACTAAAGTAGTAATAAATATTTTTTTTGCATTTTGGTTACCCTGTTACAGCTTTTAGTCAGACTGTCAAGTTCTCAGCTTCATACATGAGGCGTTCCCCTTTTTACCCGTAACAAAATACTGAATATAATAAAAAATACATAATCAGGGGGTGGTTGGAAACTCATTGCTTCCTCACTGAACTGTACCAGTACCCTGGGAGCTGAAGACATATCGTGGGAAGGTGGCTGGTGGGTGGAGTGATGCCTGTGGAGGACAGTCCCTGGGTGCCAGCAGTCCCAGCTGGCTTATCCTCTCACTCTCACACATGATACGGAGGCCAAACACAAACTAGGATGCACCAAGGTCAATAATGCAAGGATGAAGCAGGGAATTTACTCCCACTGTTTATTAGTGTGAGATCTACTCAGGGTGATGGGACTCCTGCCAATATATTAACACTATTCTTCTTTTCTTTGTCTCAGCAGCGAAGGAAAGAGTCTTGAAGCAGGTGCCTGGGAATCAGAGGGTGTATTTCACCTACTCAGGGTGTAGGAAAGAGCCATTCCTCCCATCTTACAAGGTTTTGTTCTCCTATGCCTTGTAGATGCTGCAGAGAGCTGAAACATCTCTCCTGGCTGTGTTACAGCACTGACTTATACCTCTATCACACTTTTTATTTTATTTTATGTTGTTTGTTTTTTTTAAATTTAATACAATGTCTGCTCACCAGCAACCAAGCTGAGCCACAACAAACTCTCTGCACAGAACAAATAGTGGATGGTAGAGACTCCTGGTCACTCAGATTGTTGGAGATCTGCAGGCTCTGAAATACTTGGAGGGCTCAAATTTTCCTGGCTCTAATGTGCCACTGGGTTTTTAATGGGCAGGAGTGAAAAAATTGCCTCCAGTAGACCCTGGCTGAGCCCAACAGGCAGATGAGCACCCTCTCCTCTGTCTCCGTGAAACCTCACTCAACTCCAATCTACTTTCAGCTCTGGTACAACGAGCTGTTCTTCAAATTGGTAACAAGTGCTTGCTCTGATACATCAAATTAAAAATGGATAGTGTATTATAGTTTGTCAAGTAAGAAACCAAAACATGCCATAAATATTTAACACCACCATCTCCCCTCAACACTTGCTTTCTGACACTGTTTGTCAAAGCAGCAGGAACACAGAAATAGGATTTGCCTTTCCTTGTGAATTGCTGAGCTGCAGTAATTATCTGCTTTTGGCACCTCTGATGGCTCAGTGGTGGGGACAGAGCCATTCAGCCTTGCTCAGGGGTGAATCTACCTGCTAGAAAAGCATCTTTCTGCAGGAAAACTGCCAACCTGCTCTGGTGGGGCAGCTCCTGAGCAGCCCAAGGTGCCAGTCAAACCCCAGATGAAAGGGGTGCAGGGCAGGAAAGGAGCTCACACAATGGAAAAGAGGGTCTTGAGAAAGTGAGGTGGGTGTTCCTTGCTCAGTTCATAACATGCGGGAACCAGCAACCCCTGTTTTTTCCAGAACAGAAAGCCCAAGACCATTCTAACCACTTGGAGCATGTTCCAACTGGTGGGACTGACAACATGGACATAGGTTGGAGGTGTGGATATGTGGGAAGGATCCAGCCATCCACAAACAACTGCTTAACAGGGAGATGTTGGGGCCTTTGACTGAGGTCATTACTTGCTTTTGACTCTCTTCCCTGGAAAACTCCCCACTGCTGTGATGCTCCTCTGCCTGAGGGACACATGAGGATGTACCACTTCCCAAGGCAAAGTCTTTATGCAAAGGATTCTCATCAGCAGAACAAAACTATACTACTCTTGGTCTTTCCAAGAGAGACACCCACCATGCTGACCATCATCCAAGCAACCCTGGTTTACACCCTGACACCTGGTCACCTCCACACCTAACTACCTTTCTGAGGGACATGTGTCCCAGCCAGCAGTTGGTTCTGTGGCAGATCCAAAGGTGGAATGGAAAGCAGGTATCAAAGGAAATGAACATACGAGTTGTGGACGCTGCAGTTGTAGAAGACGAAGCTGGTGCTGGCAAAGGTCATACCCGTTTCCTTGGACTTGAGCTGAAGCTGGACAATGTGATGGTCTCCTGAGGAAAAAAAAAAGAGATGTATCAGTGTGTGATGGCTTTGTTAGCCTAGTTAAACCCTGTTGGCCATGCCACCAGGCTGAACCTGGAGCCGTCCCACAGTACCTTGGCTAATCTGTCTTCAATAGCTATAGGATGTGCAACAAAATACTTTTAGACCCTGGTTCTCCAACAAATATATATCTCCCCCTCTTGTAGTCCTGGCTTGACAGAGTGTGTCTTCACTACTGGAAATTATTGTACCTGGAAGCAGAGTCTGGGCTGGATGATGACAACAAGTCTAGACCATACCTTACTAATTTAAAAATATGGTGACTGAAGTCATCAAGTAGCAAAGCTAAGCTCCAAGACAGGACACAGATATCCAGAATTAGGAGACTATTAAAAGGTAGTACTGTCCATAAAGTTCTTTATTGGTACTTCTTCATTTTTCCCCAGAAAGAAGGGGCCTGTGGAAGATGTGACTGCTGATCCCAGACTGTTGGCGGCCTGTGGATACTCTGCCTGAAGCATAAAAAAACCCCTGTTTTCCTGATGACATAAAGAAAGATCTACTCATTATTAATATCTCTTAACAAGGCCCAATATCCAGGACGACTATGCCTGAAAAAGGCCACCTTCAGATCCTACCCCTAAAGATGCTTTAAAAGTTAATAAAGCAGGATGGAGGAATAAGCAAGGAGGATACACACCATGACAGTGAGGACAGGGAAGGGGCTCCCTAGCTGCAGTCTGGGAAGTGTGGATGAACAGGGAGGTTCCTACATGAACAGTTCATCCACATTCACTCGTCTCATTCACCCCAAGGTTGATTCATCCAAGCCTTTGGCTACAAAGACCCCAGCTCAGCATGCGGACCATCCACAAGCACTTTCAGAAAGACTAATCCATTTCCATAGCAGACTCATCCACAGCAAAGCCTGCACCTCAGCTTCTACACACCATCTCCTCACCCCCTTTCCTACTGCTCCCATGCTGGACAGACAACAGCACTTTAAGCCAAAAGCCCAATTCAGAGCCCACCAGATGCAGATAATGAGTAGGTGCAATAACTGCAGCATTTTGGTAGGGAAGGAACCCATGTTTAATTCAAGACTTCAACCTGGCTGGCCTTTTCACCTCTATTATTTTCCTCCTTACCTAATAGATTAATTAATCAATCAGGGTGAAGCGAACTTGACATGCTGTGGCAGCTTGAGCCCTCCTGCATGCTCACCCACGTACAAGCACACAAACAGGCACACACACACACTCAGATACACACACCCCACGCGTGTCACTAAACACATTTTGTTGCCAGTGCTCGACTCTGCTGCCCATCTGCTGCTGCCAGCTCTGACAGCTCCCTTAACTGCTCCGTATTTAACAACTTTGCCAGCGTCTTGCATGTATTTTAAAACAGGATGTGAGGATTGGGTGGCTCCAGGGATCAGATGTGCTACAGAGCCACACATCCTTTGGCTCAAATCCAGCTCCTGACACTATGCATGGAGGACTTGGTCTTTGCAGAGGTGCAGAGCATCAGCTGCTGAAGTTGATACAAAGTGCAGGTGCCCAGTTTCCTCTGGAAACCACTGTCTAACATAAATCTCTCTCTCTTGTCCTGCCTCCAGCTTCCTCTGCTATTTTTGTTTGCTGGTTGGTTATAGCCTGGCCTGGGACTGATGTCCATACTGAGGAAATAGTCTGTGGCATCTATCTTGGTAGGCAAATCTGACTGATAACTCTGTGGGACCTGAAAATGGTAACAGCCCTTTAGGGGCTTGTTTGGGACCTGCAATGGAAAGCGTGTGCAGCTGTAGTCTGGGGACAGCAGGGGGGAGACTATGGGGACAGTTTGTGTGGCTTCATTTGCTGTGGCCTGAGGATCCTCAGAGACAAACTTTACTATAAAATTTCACAAGAAGCCAAGGGCAAAAACAGCAGTGTCCTCTCTGCACCTCTTGGGGTGATCAACAGGGTTGATGTTTTTATAAAGTCACTGTAAAGAAGTGCAGGTGCTCTTGAAAGTACCTAGAAAATTGTTAGAAAAAGGAAACAAAAAAGGAAGTAGAGGGTGGAGGGACTATCCTTGGAGACAAGGTATTTTTCTGGGATGGATCACTTTGGGAAAGGGAGCCAGTAACAAGTCTGGAGCAGCTGTAGGCAATAAGGGCCAGGGACAGATACAAGTACTGAGCACACAGATCTAATCCTGGGAGGAGCAGGATGAAATTACAGACAGGATCATTCAGGGCTGCAGGACTTTCTGGCTGCTGCAGGGGATGGGGTGTGTCAAGAACACATGGAGCTTCATTCCTTGGGTTGTGTGACACCAGCCTGGGCAAAAGGTGAGTGAATGTCCTACATCCATCTCTTGGCTTTGTTAGATATGTGCAGCTGCCACTCGGTGGCAGTCTGAAAACACCACCAGTCTGTGCTGTCACAGCACAACACTTGCACACGTGTGCACACACAAACACACACATAGTACTTGTGCTACAGTGTGCTTCTGGGCAGCTCCACCAGTGAGCATCAGCACAGGGTTCCATCTCCTCCTCGTGCTTTGCAAACCCTGTCCTCAGGCTCCTGTGAGCCAAATTCTGCTTTCTCCCAAATGACACAGGGGTGTGGGGCAGGGAAAGGAGGGAGAAATGGTACAGGTGGGGGAGTTGTGGGATACCCACCGTTCTCGGTGATGATCTGGGGCACTTCTTTGGCAGCTGGTGAGATGCATTGGATCTGACTGCCCACCACCAAGCCATCCATCTCCGAAAGATCTTCGAACGTGCAATTGACTCCTGCTGACAGCTCAGGGACATTGTAGGTCTCCAAGACCAGCTGCAAGCAGAGAGGGAGGGAGGGAAGAAGAGATGGGGGAGGGGGTAAAAAAAAAAAAAAAGAAAGAAAAGAGAGAATACTAAGCCAAAAAACAGAGCTGGGACATCAGGAGAGAATTACACTGGAGAAGTTGGACAAAGAGCCTCTTGCTAGAGAGAGCATCCTCCTTCAACAGAAAGCAACGACTCAGGAGAGGGATGTGTGTGTGGAGGGGGAAGGGGATGAGATGCTGATGCTGGCACAGGTGGTACGTGGCTATGCAGGGACAGCTACACTGCACCCCAGTGCTGGCTGGGGCAGTGGAGAGGAGGGAGTGCTCACTATCTGTCATGCAAGTGTAGGGTTAGGCAGGGAGTCTTTGGAGCCAGCTGTGAAGACCAGGGCTCTGGTGGCCCCAAGGCACGCGGTTTCTGAGGAAGGTGACTGCTACTCACAAGAGGCTCTCTGCAGACTACAGAGAAACTGTAGCGCTCCAGTCTAACTCTCTACGGCCTGCTCTCCTAGCATCAGCAGATGGGGGAGCACTCTGCCAGCAAGTTCCTGTGTAAGGAGAGTCTAGTTACAGCCTTCAGTCCACCACAAACAAATCCTGTCTCTAGAGGCACAGCAAACCTTTCCTGCCCGTCCCACCAAAGAAGCAGTTGGCCCTGGGGAGATGCTGTGTTGGGCTGTCATACATACCAAAGCTGTGAAGGAGAAGTCGTTCATGTTTTTAGTGATCACAACACCCACTGGCACTGCTATCTCATTGCCCGTGGTCATGAAGGGTGGTTACCACCATGGTTGTTCTCTGGAGAAGGACCCTTGTCCTGCTAACTTCCCAGTCCAGCTAAGGTCCTGCACCACTACTTTCTATCACTGAGGATCCTGACCAACCCACTTGAACATGTCTGAAGACAAATTGGCATCCCAGGTTACTACTAGCACCTGCTGATGACCTACAAGTCAATATAAATTTAGAGGTTTTGTGACCAACCACTAGAGCCAGCCACTTGAGAAAGGCACAAATGGAGATGTCCTCCACACTTGCCTCCTCCACGAGCTAAGGCCCCATCTGAGGTGACAGTCATTGAGAGGAGACACAAATGCATGCTCAAGTTTTATTTTCTACCATCACAAAGAATAGAAGAGGTCAGTCCTGGTGACAAAGCAGGAGAGGATGACAACATAACAGAATGCTTATGGCTCCCCCACACTGTGTTTGCCTCCTTTAAAGGAGGCTTGGAGCTGTTTCATCTCACTAGGCACCATCAGGGAGAAAGGCTGAGCAGACAGGCCTTAGCTCTGGCTAACATAAAACCTCTGTGAGAGTGTGTTCATTTTTGGGCAATGGGAATGGCAATGAGTCTTGGATAGGGAGTAGAAAAAAGCTGAGATTACTTGGATGGATTTAGCATTCAGGCTGAGCCCATTCTTCCTGCTCATAAATACAGATAGCAATGGAGAAGGGGAAACCATTCTACTTAGCAAATATTCCTCTCTGAGCATGGGCAATGAAGAATGAAGGCCTGTCATGCAGAAGATGACACCAGTGGGTAGAGCAGTAGTACTTGGAAAGAAACATCATGAGCCAGTACACACTCTAAACAGACAAGAAGTTCTACATCCCCCATGTCTGGTCTGGAGCTGCTGTTATGAGGGGAGAAGGAAACCTTCTCTCAGCAAGTCTCACAGGAGCAGCCCTGGACTGAAGAGGACTCAGTTTTCCAAGTCCTCAGACTGAGACAGACTCAGATGCAATTTCCCAAGTCTCTGTTAGTGCCCAAAATCTAAAACATTGTCTGGTCACACAGATACTTTCTCTGCCTCTGTGGGAAAGAACTCAATATCATTGACCCTTTACTAGAACCAAGTGACACTCAGTAAGGACACCACCAGCCATTCATCCCTTAGTGCTCCCCTCCTGATTTGCCAAGAGACTATCTATGGTGCCTGTGGGTGAGATGGGACATCAGTCTATCTGGGACTGGGCTGAGACTCCCGTGGAGATGTTCATGCAGATTATTAGGCAGCAGTCAGACAATGGCAAGTTCCAATCCCAACAGCTCTGGCTTGACTTGCCCTGCCCAAATAACCTAGAGGTAAAGGTCTTTTATTCTCTTAGCAGTTTCAATCACCCTGAGCCAGCCAGTCCCCCAGAAAATATTCCAACATGAAAGAATTCAGTGACTACTGAGAGAATAAGAAAAAGAAACCTTGAACTCCCAGAAGAACAAAGGACTCAAGATGTCTCAGATCAGTTTTGTTTGAAGCCCAGGAAAGTAAAGCCACAGCAAAGTTAAGAGGCTGAAACAAAGCAATAATGATTGGACATTCAGGCTTTGAAAGGCTGACTTCATTATCACTGAAGAAACCCCAGAACTCCAAAATCTGTCACCTGGAAGATGTCTGACAGCTGAGCCTTGAGCAACACCGTTTAGACCTATCAGGGTATGGGATGAGTGAACAACTCATCCAGAGTTGGAGCTTTCAGGGTCTGGATTGTCAACTCAATTCCAGCCCAAACTAGAATGTCCAAAAGGACAGAGCCCAAGTAGCCTGAATATAATAGGTCTCTGCCTCCTCAACACTCTGACGGTGTTGGATCTCACCACTTAATTACTGCTGTCATTAGTCAGGAGAGAAACTGCAAACTGCTTAGATCTTCAACAGAGATTTCCTGCCTCAAGCCCAGAAAACAACCACCATTCAGTGTGTGAATTTGTTGGCTGCTGACTTAAGTAGTTCAAGGCCATCAAGGCTAAACTTTGTGCTGGTAAGGTCACAAGAGAGCATGAAGCCAGGCAGCCTTGGGTGCCTCTGCACAACATCCTGCCTCCCTGCCCTGCATACTCAGTGCTGAAGCTGCCACAGGGTAGAGGTCCTGGTGACTTAAAAAATAAACTCTTCCACCCAAGATGATAGAAAATTGAAACTTATTGAAATAACAATTACTATCCCTCATCCTAGAAAGTAATCTCATTATATCTTGATAATGTCCCTTGCCTAAAATCCATGCCCAGCCTACACAAAAGCTTCTTCTAAGGAATTAAACAACTACACTGTACGCACAAAACCCTTGCAGGGCACTGAGTCCCTTCAGACCTGCCCTCAGCTCCTCAGACCAAACAAGAAAACCTTCTCTACACCTCTAAACAGGGGATAACTAAGGCCAAAATGTCATCCCATGGCGAATCTTTCTCTGTGCTGGGAAATTTGCAGGGGAAGTCAATGGATTCTGGAGAACATCGCTCATGGGGCTGCCAGAACTTCCCACTCATGCTGATCCCAGGTTGAACATACCTGGTCAGTCAGTCTGCATGGGCAGATTAAACTCAAGGGGGACAAGGGTTAATGTTCCTCACCAAGACATTGTACTGGGAGACGGAGATGTTGTTGGGATGCACGGTGAGCCGGACACACTGCTTCATCTCCGAGGCAAAACGCCGAGGCTCGCTGGAGCGCTCGCATCGCTCCTTCCTCGTGCACCTGGGCAAAGGGGAACAGAGAGGGACAGGGTTAACACAAAGCCAGGCTGTGAGGGTGAGGACAACTCTGGGACATAGGAGGAGCAATCATTTTGGATGGTAAGTCGATACTGTACCAGAAGGACTGCAACTAGCTGGAAAACCACACTGGTGGCCTGTAGCGCTTTAACTCCAGTGTCACAGCTGTGGGATTGCTCAGCAAACTGGAGAGCTGCAAGGACACTATGAAAGGAGGAAGGTGTTGGGTGAAAGCCCCATGCCTTGGGTAGGATGCACAGCTCTAGAGATGTTCTGTCTCTCTACCCACATAACAGGTACAGAGTAACATTCCCCTGGTAGCCCTGAAAACTGTCCCGTCCAAGGACAGTGAGACATTTTACACAGGGATGTCCTTGTAGGGTAGATGTGCACAGTCCATAGTCTTTGGCCCTGCTGAGGGGACTGCAAATCTGTGATACTGTTGGGATGCTGGTATGTTCCTGCTGGGAAGGGGCAACCTTCTGATTCATTGCCCAGCAGCTGCTAAGTAGTCCCAGGCATGTTGAGGGGTTTTTGGCATCTGGTTTGAAATCACCTGACTAGAGGTACCCAGGGTTGAATCTTCAAAATTCTGGTACTCCCAATTAGTGAAAGTTCAATGGGATTGGTGGATGCACAGTACCTGGGCTGCACAAGCCTCTGAAGATCACACCACACACTAATTGCTATCAGTGCTTTCAGCACTGTCACTGTCTCTTGTCTCACCTCTCCAGTGTAAACACAAGTCAACAATGTGAACTGGTAGCTGTGCACCCTGTTTCAATTCAAATGTACATTTGCTTAATGTAAAACACATCTGTATTTTACTCCATATGTGATGCCAAGGCCATGGCTTCTAGGAAGATGCCTGCCTGGAAATCCACAGAGTTAATCCAAAAGGACAGCTCCAATTGCATGCCAATTACCTTTTGCCATTAAGCTAATGTTATGGACTTGCAGAGGGTGTCTTCAATGGATTTTGTTATTAGCAGTGCTATTACCCCCCATTAAAATCAGCTATAAAGACTAAGTACGGATGTTAAATTATTCACCCACTCTCAGACTTTGGAGTCATGGTTGTGAGAGCACTCGGGGGCTGCTGGAGTGTTAGCTCCAATATCACCCCTCAGTATCCTTGCTCCCTGGAGTAGAGATTGCACCCATATCCATGAGGATTTGCAAACAGGGATACAAGGCAACACATGCAAAAGCAACCCAATATATGGCTGAATATTCTAAAGCTTGGGGGCTAGCCTTAAAGTTTAGGGCTTGGTTTCTCTCTAGTGGCTGATGCTGGGTAAGATGAGCACCCCAATTCCAAACTCAGGTTGCTCTATCTGTCTGGCAGAGGAAAGTTTTGTGTTTCCAACAGTAGGAATAAAGAAGGGAGGTCTCAGCCAGTCTCAGCACACTCCTGGTTTACTTTTCAGCTCTGAGAGCAGTAGCAGCATTGCAGCTCCCACTCTCCCTCCCCTAGGACCCTTCATCCCATTAAGTCTCTTCTGCATGCTGGATAAGGGATTTTAAATGTGCAGTCTCCAGAGGCTTGGATGGACAGCTGATTAACTATTCCCAAAACTGTAAGTCCCCCATCATGGATCAAAAGCCACAACAAAATGCTGACCTGAGCTTGTGGTAAGCACTTCTATAAAACAAAGAGATGCAGCAATCCCATCAAAGATCTGCAGGGTGTGGGAACTCCTCTCCTGAGAATAGCTTGGAAGAAAGCCCTTTTGGGCTCCCTGTCAAAACACAAGTGTCCAAATTCTTCAAGATGTCCTGCTACCTCCCATTTATTTCCTCCAGCTGCAGCATGGCAGGAACATCTGGGTTTTCTAAAATTAACTGGGCAGAGACCCAGGCTCAGTTCAAGTGTAATGGCACAGTAGGTTGCAAATACATCCAGAGCAGGAGGACACCACATGGGTATAGGTTAAGGATTTAGGAACCTGGTTTGTATTTCCAGCTGTACCAGTGAGCTGGAACATAGTGGTCAGCATCTTATCTTGCTGTTTACTTGTCATACATATTTAAGACATGTACCTCTTGAGACCAAAACCTCCCTCTATATTAGACTGATGTGTCTTCAAGCCTTGATATCTGCTGTAAGATGTGTTGTCATTCAAACAATGAAATGATGAAAAAACAAATCAAACTAATGCTGGTTTTAATATAATGTTAAGGTTGCATATCAGACCCTCAGGAATTAAGTACTGCCAGATTTAAAGTAGCTTCTGCACACTTAAATCTGCTCCCTGCACTGACACACTGCAAGCCAGATTTTAATTACAGGATCACACATTATTATTCCTTTTTTTTCCACCTGTGACCTTAATTCTGCTACTTCCTAGCTTTTGGATTTGACTGTCTGAATTTTTCAATGCAATTTCTCCATTTAAAACAAAGGAGGGAAAAAGCCCCAAAACATCCTGATAGGCCTGGTGCTCGAGTGTGATGATGGGGAATCTCTGTCAGGCTGAACCAAACTGAGCTGGGGTCACTGTCAGGGTTCAACCTCTCTAGTCAACAACACAGACCCCTTTCCCTTGAGCCAGCAGCATAATTCTTTGTAGGTAACTAATCCCAACTGCTGCAGCAAGACCAGCTGCTAGTGGGTTTTGCAGGTTTAGCCATGCAAGGGAGGACTTGGGCCTCTTTTCCAAAGCCTTTTGGTTTTCTCCATCTCTTCTTCCTTAACCACTTTATCTACTCTGATCTGGAGGACATGGAGCATCCTGTGGGTTAACATACCATGGTTTCCCAGGTGTCTTCCCAGCACCTGCAACTGAGGTTCTTCAGAGGTGAAACGTGGTAGATTTTCAGGGGAACAGAAAAAGGTACAGACCTGTCATAAAGTAACCTTCTTGCTTCAGTGTTCCTCTGCACTGCCAAAAATGTTCTACCCTCCCCCAAGAGTGGAGAGAAACAGCAGAGAAAATTGTTTCAGTGTGTGAAGAGCAAAGTTTTGCCCTCCAGCATCTGCCTCTCAAATCCATGAATGGTGTTGGGTGAAACACAGACACAAACATGGCAAAGCATCCAGCCACTAAAGGCAGCTGCCCAGAGGGGACATTGCTGCCCAGAAAGTAACTTCAGCAAATTGTAAATAAAAACTAATGGGACTTTTAATAAGTAAATACTTCCAGACACAAGAGCCTGCCTTAGAAAAAATGGTCACCTGGAAGGCAGCTGCCTGCAGACAGCAGCTGGACTGTGAAAGGGATAATCATAGAATCATAGAATGGTTTGGGTGGATGAAATATCCCAACTTATCACTTCTGTTGTCTCTCTTGAGAGTCAATGTGCACTCTGGGTCCTGGGAGATGGCTGTGACTCTGCTATCCTCTCATCTGCTGTGTCTATTGCAGCTTATGCAGAAAAAAGTACCTTGTGCTGCCAATAACTGTTGGGCTTTAATAAAATATCAGTAACTCTAACATGCTGGGTCTGTCAATATGCTGAGATCACTTTCCACTGCCACGTAACCTAATTCAATGCTATTCATGCTATAATTATCTGGTGTGTGACTCCCACCCAATAGCATCACATTACAATTAAGACACCTAAAGGAGTATATTCCACTCCTGAACTTATTTGCATAAGATTATGGTGTAGACATGGCACTTCTCTGTACGTCTTAATAACACCTGCTACTTCATTATCAGCTGCACCTTTAACAATTGCAAGTGTCCTGCTTCTGTCCAAACCATTAGTAGAAACACTGAGAAACTGGTCTTGCCACTGAACCATGAGGAACATTATTTCCTCCTCATCACCCATTAAGAATAATGGTAACTAACCCTCTGTTCACCATCCACTAACCAATTACTTTAATAATATTAAATTAATACTTTGTTCTTCTACAGCCTGTCTCATCTGAGGATCTCAAAGGGCTTTGTCTGGAGCTAATTAAACTTCATGATACCTCTGTGAGGTTGAAACATTATCACACAGAGACAGGAAAGTGAGGCATAGATGCATGTGTGTCAGAGAGCAGAGGAAAGCCCAGTTCTCCTGAGGGTGAGATGAAGCCCTGGTTTGGGACCCAAGGGATCATGGTTAAACCCCAGGTGTGCCATCGGTGACCTAAAGCAACCTGCTGGTGGAAACACCAGCTGTGGAGGGGTAAGGTGCTCTTCCACCTCTGCAATGAGATATTAAGGCCTCTTTTACCTTGCTAAAGCTTGGTCAAACCAAGCCCAAAATCACTGTGGCACCTCCACTGTTTTACCCTAAGTATCCAAGGTTAAGAGGGTTAATCTGCAGTACAGAAATCAGAGCACAGACCCAAGAGCTCCAAGCACCTGCATAGACCAGGTAAAAGTAAGGTCAAGTCAGGTACTCCCCCACCTACAAGCTCTTAATTTTCCTTATGCACAGCATGGAAAACAGGTTTGCCAGCCTAACAGAAGACATGTGTGCCATGGGCATGCTTTCCTCTGCCTTTAGTATTTAGTGTTGATACACTTGTACCACCCTATTGTAGAAAAAGCTACAACAACAATGAAAATAACACAAAATAAACTCCAAGAAGTCAAAAAACATCGGTTTTCATCTTGCCTCTTTTTGTCTTCATCTTTATTTCCTCCATGTCCAACATACTGGGGTCCTGAATCATGTTGGATCCTCACCATACACTCCTGCAGGCTCTTATTACCATCCTATCAGTCTATCCAGAAGAGCCAGTCCCATACTTCCCTGGAGCTCTGCACCTCCTCTTCACCCCCAGATTGGGGTTGTGTCTTTGCCACCCACACCTCTTGGAATAGGGACTAATGGTGACAAAGTGGCTGAGATCACAACAGCTGCCAGGTATGGAGCTTGGTTCAAGATGACTGAAATAAGAAGGTCTCTTCTGACCACTTTGGTGCTTGGGAAAGGGAAAAAACTGGGGAGGAGCTGCTGTTTGCAGAGGGAAGGGAGCAGGGGGAATAGTGGTGCTGTGGTATATCATTGGCTTCTTGCACACTGGGTAACAGATCC